AAAAATTCTTACCATCATCGTCATCTCCAATAACCAATTTAATCACCACTAAATTAATTAATAAACAAATGAATAACAAATTTGTCCTATTTTTAAAACACCCGAACATTTTGCAGTTTATTTATCAAATTAGCAACAATTAACACCACTAACCTAACACACTTTAGGAAAAAAATTATATATGTATATATATATAATTAATTTTTACACATTCTTTAAATAATTTATAATTATTATATAACAAACATTAACACAAAATTTATTTTTAGTAAAGATAAACACACTTTTATTAAATACAAAAATAAATGTTTTACTTTTATATTTTTATCATAATTAGAAACATTTAATATTTTGTATGAATTTTAAATTTAACTTTAAAATATAACTCTTAGATGATTTTATAAAATAAGTTTTAAATAGAATACTTTTTCACTATTATTATATATACATATATAAATATAAATATAATTTTATCTTAAATTATTTGTAAATCTTTGTCAACGTTTATTTTTTGACTAAACTGACAAACAAGAACTGAGGTGACAATGAAATTTCTTTCGTTGTTTTTTTCTGTATATTTCTATATATATATATATATATATAATATATATATATATATATATATATATATATATATACATTTACCTGAGTCATATGTACCTGACGAATTTAGGTATAAATCGAAAACAGGTATAAGAATGAAAAGTAAGAAAAAAACACTACGAGTGCCATTTTATACAGAGATGGATTTATATATATATATATATATATATATATATATATATATATATATACTAGTCGGCCCGACACAGGTTGTTTTTTTCATACATTTATAACGAAAAAACCTTAAGGTAATATTATAAACCTTATTATAATAATTTGTTGTAAGTTTTGCCTAAAAATAAATTCAATTAAATTAACATTTTTCTGATTGATAGTTATATTATATTATATTTTCTCAATTTATCAAAATAACAAGAAAATCAAAATTTTAGTATTAGTAAATACATTTATTGTCTTACTCATATTTTTTATTCATTTAGATAATTTTCAAATTAGGTAAACATTTTATTTTAATATTTCTGACTTTTATTTCAATAATTTTGACTTTTATTTCGTTTTACTCTACTGACGATCATACAAAGATAGCTTACGAAAAAAATTCTTTTTATTATTAAATTTAATTACTACATATGTAATACAGTGAACTCTATCAAAAACAAAATGACAAAAAAAGAACTCTACCATCAATATAAAAAGGAATTCTACTGACGTGCAATCCTAAACAATATTTAAAAAAGAAAATAATGGCGAAGATAATTAATTTTTACAAGCAATTCGCTTCTGGGTTCTAAATAGATAATTATAGTCTTGTAATTAATTACTAAAAGCATTACCTCTTAATTAATGAAATTAAGATGAAACAGTCATTAGCAACTATGTTGCTAATATGAGGATTTGTCATTATGGGAATATCTGCAATGACGTCATCTTTTCATAATAATTGAACAAGACACAAAAATTTCCAGAACATGATTTTATTTTTATAAAATTCTTCACACTGTAAAATAAAAAAAAAGTTAACACATTATATCAATAAGAATCGAATTTGAAATGAATCATTCTAATCGGTTCATCCGTGCTCTCGGAATCGTCGATGAAAGATTGTATCCGCACATACATACATAGTAAACACATACACTAATGTGCTCAAAAGGCTTTCAAACTTAAATATATACAAAAAATTCGGATATCTCAAATTTTTCGAAATAAAACACAAATATCTATAATTCCATTTATAAAATGGTTTATTAATAGTCTCTCATTTTATTCATTTTTTTTGTCTTGTACAATTATCATCAAACATTTGTTTAAATTTTTATGTATACTTATGTACTAAAAACGTAGCTTGGACATCAGTACATTAATTAAATTAATATAATAAATTATTATAAATAATAATATACATATATATATATATATATGTATATATATTAATACAATTATAATTTAATTTTTCTTAAATTTTTCATTTAATTAATTTGTTACCAATTATCTAATTACTGGTCGATACGTACAACTATCTTAATTTTTTATAATTAATGTGTGATTATATTAAATTAATTAAAATTTAGCCAAGTGTACTATATTTATCTAGGTTTATTTGGGCTTAAAAATTGGGTCCTGTTGTACTAATTTTTTTCTAAAAAATTTTAAAGTCAAATTTACTAAATCGTGTGCGACGATTTTTAAGTGCCAAAAAATTTAAAATTGAAGCATTTTAATTTATAAAATTTAAAGTAAACTATCATATATATATGTATAAACATATATATATATATATATATATATATATATATATATAATAGTTTATTTCTATTATTAACAAATATTGGAAGACTGGTCCAATTTTTTAGTCGAATTTACTAAAAATAGCTCTAGAATATTTTTTGGGTTGTCAAAATATTATATCTCTATAAATATATTTTTATTTAGTAGATTTAATATTGGTTTTAATATTCTGCTAATTATGCACCAGTTTATAAAATCATTTTTTACTACTTATTAAATATAAATTGAATAAAAAGGATTTTTTTTTCAATTTAATATTATCAAAGGAAATTAATATCAATTTAATTATGCCTTCTTAGATTGTTCATTAAAGTTTTTTATTTGACAAAAAATAATTATTACTTAAACTTTGTATAACATTAATATTATTTAATTAACATTTTGGTAAAGTAGTTTTGCTATTTTGTATCAAATACTTTGAATATTAATGTAACTTTCTATTAAATTGTTTTTTCTTTGAAATTTAAATTTGAATTTAGCCGTCACAAAACTGACAACTTCATGGCTTATTTTTTTGAATGTTCAGCTGTCAAAAAACTATCAAAATGGCCGTTGACAGTTGCGAAATTTGTTAAAAACGCAATATTTGATTGAAATTATTAAAATTTAATGCTAACTATTAATAATAATTATCATAAAACTTTTAAAACTTCTTGGTTCATTTGTTTTTAATTTAAATTTTAATTTAACTGTCAAAAAAGTGACAAGATGGTCGTTGACAATTGCAAATTCTTTCAAAATTATAAATTATTAATCGAATTTATTCAAATTCAATGTTAGATATTAATGATAACTGCAATTTAGAAAATAATTAATTGTAAAATGAAGTATTGAATTATAATTTTGATAATAAATATTAAAATAAATTAATATAGTTAGTAATATACTAATAATATTTGGGTTTTTTATATAATAACATTTTTTATGTCAATTTGTATCTTTATGTCAAAAAAACTGTCGTTACCGTTGATGGGTTAAAAAACTAAATTTTGATAGAAACTATTTAAGTTTTGTATTATATAATTATTATTTAATATAAATATTATTTTTCCAACAAAGGGTACTTTGGTAATTTGGCAAAAATACTTTTAAAATCATTTTTTTAATTTAAATTTAAAATTAAATTTAAATTTAACTGTCAAAAACTGACAACTTCATAGTTAAAAAAAACAGTCAAAATGGCCATTGACAGTTGCGAATCCTTTCAAAAGCATTAATATTTAATCAAAATTATTAAAACTCAATGTTAACTATTAATAATAATTTACATCATAGTAATGACGCATAAGTAAAACATTTAAAATTTTTTATTCATTTGTTTTTAATTAAAATTTTAATTCACCTGTCAAAAAACGGACAAGATGGCCGTTGACAGTAGCAAAATTTGTTGAAAATATAATATTTGGTCAATGCTTACTATTAATAATAATCAACATTTTAATGATGGAGCTTTAGTCAAATTTGTAAAATTTCTTGATTCATTTGTTTTTAATTTAAATTTTAATACAACTCTCAAAAAATTATCAATATGGCGGTTGACAGTTGAGAATTTTTTAAAAATTATAAATAATTAGACGAATTTATTAAATTTTAATGTAAAATTTTACTGATTATTGATATTTTGGAAATTATACATCAGTAATTCGGAAAATAATGCTTAATTCATTTGATCTTAATTTAAATATTATTTAATATTTAAACCTGACAAGATGGCCGTTGACAGTTGCAAATTTTGATCATTTGTTTTCATTATGATTCAATTTTTTTGTTTTTTGTTTGAGCTATGTAATTTCAAGCAGAGGTCTTATCAAATTCGGGCAACCTGATGTCAAGCAGTAGTGAAAATTATTAAGAAAATTGTTTTTATTTTGTCAAAATGTATCAACATGGTCGTTGACAGTTTAGAATTTTTTAAAAATTGATAAAGTTGAAAAAAAAATTAATATTGAATATTAATATTTATTCCATTTTATTTATTGCACTTTGCATGAAATTATAAATCTAAAAGAAAATGACAAATTAGTCGTTTACAGTTTATAATTAATTTGAATTTAATTTAGATAATATTAGTATTGGTATTAATTTTTAATTAAAATTTTGTTTAAAATTTTTGTCTTTGTTAAGCACATTTTTTGTGTTCTTGATTTTTCCACATAACAATATTTGTTTTAACATTAACTTACATCAATTTCTTTTTTAACATTTAACATTTATTATTCCCAGCAACAGAACATTTTATTGGAGGACATTTTTGCATATATATATATATATATATATATATATATATATATACAAAAATGTCCTTGCAAACTGAAATATACATTCAATATATATTTTGTCAACAATTATAACAACACATCAATTTTTTTACATACGTCCATGTTTAACATTTAAAACATTTCATAATAATAATTTGGATAAGTATTTAAACAAATTATTCATAAATAATTCTGTTTCGTCAATTTCGTATAAAACCATAAAATTTAATATTTAATAAATTTATATATATTAATTTATTATTATTAATATATTTCTAAGTGCCTTTTGTTATTTGAATGTTTCGAAGATGATTTCGTTCTACTTCTAGATGCACTTAATAATAATTTTAATTTAATTTTTTTATTCAATATAATTAATTTAATTAATAAGTGTGTGTGATAAAAATCGATGAATAAAAGTTTGGGAAGTAGAAAGTCGATCTTGTCGATATTGTCATCACTAATTCTTTGAGGTCAGGATGGTCACAAATTCTGAAAAAAAAATTAAATGAAAAATTTAATAAAAATACAGAATTTAATAAAATACAGGAGTTATAGATAATATTAGTATTTGTATTTTTTTTTTTGTTAAATTTTGGGCGTGTCAAGTATTATAGGCCTGTGAAAAGTGATGAATGTTTGCAAGATTTGGAAAAAATGTTAGAGTTGAAGCTAGTTTTATTTAAAAAATGTGTATAGGAGTGTATAAAACTGTTTGCATGAGGTTTTGGTAAATTTTATCTAGTTTCTGCTAAGATAAATAAAAAAGAGAGTCCCAAAAAATTTTTTTGAGTTTTTTACTAAATAAAAAGTAAAAAATGTCCCGATATTTTGCCTCACAATATAGAAGTATTTGAAGTATAATAAGGGTGTATCGAAGCTAGATTTTAAAATTACGATTAAAATTGCTCTGGGCTATATTTAACTGTTTATATAGGATTTTAGTAAATTTAATCTGGTTTCTGCTAAGCTAACTCAAAAAGAGTGTCCTGAACGAAATTTTTGAGATATTTAAAAAATGTAGAAAAGTTTCCCAAATCAATGGAAGACTGATTTACATCATATTCGAAGGAATAGTTATTTTTTTTTTTCAAAAAAAATGTATCATAGTCTATGAGTATGTGTACACAAAAATGTGGTAAATTTTATCTAATTTCTCCTAAACTAACTAAAAAGAGTGTCCAGAACAAAATATTTGAGATATTTAGAAAAATATTGAAAAGTGTCCCAAATCAATGGAATACTGATTTACACCATATACGAAGGCAAAGTTCAAAATTTTTCAAAAATTTGTATCGGTGTATATGAAAATATTTATTCACAAATGTAGAAAATATTATCTAGTTTCTCGTAAACTAAATAAAACAGAGTGTTTTGAACAAAATTCTCTAATTTATTTGGAGAAATATGAATAAATGCCAGGGATTGATGTATTGGTAATTTGCATCATATACAAAAGAAAAGTTCAAAATTTTTCAAAAACTTGTATCAGAGTATATGAAATTTTTTACACATAAATGTAGTAAATTTTATATAGTTTCCCCTAGAATAATTGAAAAAGACTACACGAATCAAAATTTTTGAGTTATTTAATAAAATGTAAAAAAATGTCTCTATTACAGCACAATATATAAGGGCAAAATCAAACTAAGTTTCAAAATTATTAAAAATTTTGTATAGGACTACATTAAACTATTCACACCAATTTTTATTAAATTTTTACTAGTTTCTGTTAAGCTAAATAAAACAGAGTGTCCGAAACAAAATTTTCGAGGTATTCAATAAAATGTAAAAAAATGTCTCTACTGTAGCACAATATATAAAGGCAAGTCACAGAGTAGATTACAAAATTAGTAAAAAAATGTATCAGACTATATTAAACTATTTATACCAAATCCTAATAAATTTTATCCAGTTTCTGCTAAACTAACTCAAGAAAAGTGGCCAGAACGAAATTTTTAAGATACTTAATAAAATGTAAAAAATGTCCCTGTTGCAGCACAATATATAAGGGCGAATCACACACTAGATTTCAAAATTATTAAAAAATTTGTATTGGACTGTATAAAACTATTTACACCAAATTACAGTAAATTTTATCTAGTTTATGCTAAGCTTACAAAAAAAGCATCTGGAACAAAATTTAATTAAAAAACGCATTTTTTTCATCTCAATTGATAAATTTCACTTCTTTTCGATAAAATCCATTACTGACACCACTAGAAAAGTTCAGCCAACTTGTTTCAAGGCGAAATGCCACTTATGACTAGTTTCCAAATTACCTTCATAGTTGACCATGCCGTCTCCGTCCAAATCCGCCTCTCTGATCATATCGTCAACTTCTTCCTCGGAAAGACGTTCTCCTAAATTCGTCATGACGTGACGTAACTCCGATGACGAGATTTGGCCATCGTTGTTTTTGTCGAAAACCCTAAAAAAAATGACTTAGAAGTAGTTATAGACATTCACTTGGTTTGATGGTTAGAGCTATGGGAGGGAAGAAGTTGCATCATTAATAATAAATTTACTCAAGGAAAATGTTATTTTCCCAATCAATGTACAAACACTAGTAGCTAGTAATAATTTAAAAATTTATAAATATATATTTAAGTTTATTAATAATACTAAAATTAATTTATAGGTTAATTATTTAATAAGAATTTGTAGTAAACAATTGTATCAATGGCATGTGGTCTTATGATGTAAGTCAAAAGCCAATAAATAAAAAAAAAATAAAAAAAGTTCCATAAGATTTGTTTACCCTGATGTCAAACCGGAGTGACGTAGTTAAGAGAGTTATTACAGTATCTTGTTTTTTCTGGAAATATTTTTTTATAAATGTCTTGGATTATTTTTTGAAGTAAAACTTCTTTAGGCGCGACTAGGGTGTAAATCCGTACAAATGCAACGGAAATACGTTACGACAGATAAGATAAGATAAGAGTCGAGTGCCAATGGTTCGTCATTCGCTCTCGATGATATCATTTCAATACGGGTCGATTGTGATTAGTCGTCGTCGTGTATGTGAATAGAGATCTAACGTTGTATGCGTACCGGCATCAACGTTGTATACGTACCGATATCAACAAGGAAATCGACATAGATAGATAAATAAATATTTTAAAGTTACATCGTGGTACAAATCTTGATTTAACGAAAAATGCCCGAATTAGAAGAATATTTTACCCCGTTCCTTGAAAATAATAAAACAAACTAAACATTTGTACCGTGTACTGAACGTAAATTTATTGATTAGAAATTATTTATATATTATTCTTAGTTTCTGAAAAAACTTTAAAGTTATTAAACTGGAAAATATTTCTTATGCAAGACAGATATTACAGCTGTTCGAAGAATGAGATTATATCGCCAGCGAAAAAGTAAAAAAAAGACAAGCAGTCAATGAATGTATGTTAATTTTAATTACGTGAAGTTCTTCAAACACAATTATTACATGATGAGTAAAGTTGCGAAAACAATATTTGTTTAGGCGTTGTTTAACATAATCCACTGTTTGAACAAATATTATAGAATTTATTAATCAGCAATTACTTCATTTCTCTAATGAAGGTTCAAGTCCTAAATGCAATTACAATGACAAACCGATCATGTCGTATTTGAAGTATGACTTTAATTACATTATTACATATATTTTTAGTGCTATTATAATTATATAATTTATAATTTATCATTATATAAATGTGTATAATGGTCGACAATAATAAATGTGTGCATCACGAGTGTTACCAGATTACTAATAAACATTATTCAAAATTGTTATAAGATGTACTTATTTTTACTTAAATGCCATATTGTAGAGTAGCAAATTAGTTTTACTTCAATCGCGTGTGAACCTTACACACATTCTTTTTATATTACCTGAAGGCTTCTCGAAGTTCGTCCTCGCCGTCGGCCCCTTTCATTTTCTTGGACATCATTTGCAGAAATTCGTTGAATTCGATGGTTCCGTTTCCATCGATGTCAACTTCGTTGACCATGTCACGTAATTCCGTTTCTAAAAAAAGAAATAGATATTTTTGTAAAAATTTCACTCTGATTTGTCATTTGGCAACCCTAAATTGCCATTAGACAACCCTAATTTACAACCCATTATGTAACTCCAATTAAAGGTTGTCATCGGGCAACTCTAATTATTGTAAGTTGACATCAGGCAACACTAATTATTGTAACTTGTCATCAGGCAACTCTAAATGTAAATCTCATCTGGCAACACTATTTATGTCGTCGTGAAACAAAGTGCCCTGAACCAAATTTTCTTGTTAGTAGAATGAAGTTCAATATATAAGAGCAATTTCAAATTGGATTTTAAAATTAGTATCAATTTATATCAGACTATATTAAACTGTTTATACAGTTTAAAATTTAAATGTAAATGTTGTAAATTTTATCTAGTTTCTGCTAAGCTAATGTAAAATGAGTGTTTTGGGAAAAGTTTTTGAGTTATTCTTAAAAATGTAAAAAAATGTCGCGAAATCTTGTTTGGAAAACTTAGAACCAATGCACAAGGCCGAGTTCTTATTGGATTTATTAAAAATGTTTGTTTAGTGGTGTGTAAAAGTATTGATGAAGGATTCTAGGAAATTTTATCTAGTTTCTGCTAAGTTAACTCAAAAAGAGTGTCCGGAATGAAATTTTGGAGATAATAAAATTAGACATTTGTGTACAAGTTTTAACTTGATGTTTCATCAAACAACCCTTAGTTGTCATCGGGCAACCCTAGGTTGTCATCAGGCAACCCTAGTTAAAGACTTTAACTAGTCTGGCTCTCATAAATTTTGTAAGGTAAATAATGTTAATTTTTGTTAATTATGTAACCTAAAAGATCTTTCTAAATAAATCTATACATACTTTGTTACACTAAAGTAATTGGAACAAAAGTATCCAGACAGTGATTATCATGAAATTATTTGATCTAGATAAAATTAAATAACAACCAGTTCTTACTTATTTTTAATCTAAATAATTTTAGCCTATCAATTTATTCCAGTTTTTTTTATTTTTCTAACCTGTCGGACGTTGTCCCAAGGACCTCATGACAACTCCTAATTCGGCCATGGTCACCATTCCGTCTTCGTCTTTGTCGAAAAGCATGAAGGCCTCTTTGAACTCTTTAATAAAAAAAAAACACAAAATTTTGACCAAAAAATAGTCACATAAAAAATATCTGTAAGATACTGTAAGAGAAAAAGCGTTTAGATTTTATTTCTAGATTTTTTCTTAGTAAGAAAATTTTATGTTACGGTAAGATAAACTCCAATGTTATACTAAAATTATAATTGATTTAATAAATAAACTTTTGGGGTTCTTATTGTATTTTTAATACTGCTTTCATTGATAACTTCCAATCATTTAGAATGTTTATTAAATAAATAAATATATATATATATATATATATATATATATATATATATATATATATATAAATATATTATTTTTAGAAAGGTGATGTTCTCACCTGCGACTTGGTCCTCTGATAGTCCATATTCTGACTGTAAAAAAAAGAAAATCGAGTTAGTAAGAAAGTTGATTTCAATATTGTAGAATGGATCAATTTCGATAAATTTCAACTTTCGAATATTTGATATTTTAAACTTTCTATATTTTAATTTTTAAATACAGGATTTTTGGCTATTTGAATTTTATAAATTTGGATGTACTTACATTCAAAATCTTGGATTTTTAAATAGTGCTTCTTCTAAATTTCTGAGGTTTAATAGGAATCTTTTTAGGTTATTTTATTTAGGTTAGGTTATTTTTAACACTTAATTTTTATTGTCTTAAATTTGACACTTTCATAAATTTTGTATTTCTCAAATTTTGTAATATCTTAATACGAAAGCCTTTTGAATTTGTCATTTATGAATTTTGTACTTTCTGAAATTTGAATCTCTCAAATGTTTTACAATTTTAATTTCCTAATTATTAATTATTTAAATAAGAAATCTTGAATGTTCACCATTCTAAATTTTATATCCCTTAAATTTTACTTTTTTTTTATTTCGAATCTATTAAATTTTCATTTTCTAAACGTTGAGTTTCTTATTTGTGCTTTTTTAATAATGTGATAAAAATGTGTTTTTAAAATTCCATACTTTTTAAAATTTAAACGGTTTAAATATTAGATCATAAATTTGTGATTCAGGTACTATTCAAAATCTTAGTCGTTTGAACTTATTTTTAGATTTTGAACTTTCTTTAGATCATATAGGGCTGCCAAATAACTTCTTTTTTGAAAAAGCTACAAAAAAAGACTACGGAATATTTTCTCATTTTTTTTAAGTTACTTTGGATTTAATATTGCCTGGTACTTTAGTATTTTTGGTGCAATTTTTTGGATCTAAAATCCTTACAAAAATAAATTTTAGAATTTTTAGGTAAATTTCATAGACTCTGGATTATGATATTAAAGTTTTTAAATTAAATAATTTAGATCGTATATTTGATTTTAGATTTTTTTGGTATAAATACTTTAGAGTTTAGGATTTTTATTATAAAAACTTTGGTTTAAAGAGTTTTGGTGTGAATGGTATGGATTTTAAGCTTTTTGGTATATTTGCTATGAATTTAAGATTATTTAGTATTTTGGTATACACCTTTGAATTATGTTCTAATATAGATTAGTGTTATAAAACTATATATATATATATATATATATATATAATGCGGTGAAAAATACTACTTTTTTGTTGTCGAAAATAAAACGACAATACTATTCTCTGTTCGAAAACTGTAAAGTTAGTTTATTGCTGCAAATGTTGGAAGCCTTTGCCAACTGCGTAAAATATTATATATATATATATATATATATATATATATATATATATATATATATATAATCAGAGTCATCATCATTGATCTACGATTCTGTTTATATTCGCTTCTAGTTTTACGAGTTTTTGTTTTGTTTATTTTTAATATACGCGATTATTCTATTTCTGTTTTACAAAGAACAGAGGTCAAATTTATTAATATTTTCCGAAATTGATCGAACATTTAGAAAGTCAACAAAATTTGGAAAGAGTTTATATTGTAACAAAATTTAGAAAATAAACAAAGTTCATAAAAAAATTTCAAGACAATGTTCAAAATTTAAACAGCCAGTATAAAATATTTATTTAAAAACTATGAAATTTTAACATAAAACTTTTAGAAAGTTGTGAATTGTGAAGTTGAAAGTTTTAGAAACGAAACTGTTAATCCAAAGTGCTTACACTTTACAAAATTTGAATCAAACCTATTTATCCAAAGTTTGTTTACCTAATAATCTGAAATTCAAAGCAAGGTTATTAAGCAAACACATAGAATCTTTAGTATAATTATATCTAAGAAATCTGATGCATTTGTAACAAAAATTCAAAGATTTTTTTTACTGGAATCTAAAATCTTAAGAATTTGGAACAACAACAATTTATAATCTATATCCAAAAAAAGTCTGAAATCTCAAGTTTTTTGTCAAATTTTTATAATCTACAGTGAATTATAGTAAAAACTTGTAGTCCAAAGTGATTTTATCTCAGAATCCAAAGTGTAAATCTAAAAAACCTTCCTAAGAATCCAAAATTCAAAGAAAGTATTGGCGTCAACATTTTATAATCCAAAAAAAGTCAAAAATTCTAACTTTTGGGTCAAAAACCTGCAATTAACGTAAGATTTTCTAAGATATCTAAATTACAAATTTGTGACCCAAAATTAGTTTATCTAAGAACTCAAAATTCACGATACTTTGGATCAAATTTCTGTAATAAACAGTAATTTTGTGTAAAAAGCTAAATTCCAAAGTATGCGAATTGAAAATTCATATTTCAAAGAAGTTTGTTAAGAAAACTTAAATCCTAAGTATTTGTGTAATTAATAATTTGTGTAAAAAAACTAGCAAGACATAGTTATTTCATTTTGAAATCCAGAGTCCAAAACGGAAAACCAATTCATAATAATCCAAAATCCAAAAAAGTATTCGCGTCAACATCTTGTAATCCAAAAAGAAAATCTTTAGGTCTAAATTTTGCAATAGAGTATAATTTTATTTAAAAAACTAAAAACCAAAGTATGCAAATTAAAATTTTCACTATCATTAGCGTTCATGTTTCGGCTGCTTAACCATAATACATAAGTTTTTATTTCTTTTTTTTATATGACTGTTATTGTTATATTGTTAAAATACTTAATAATTAGTTAATTAAAAACATGTAATTTAAAAAACACTAACAAAAATTGAGAAACAAATTATGTATTGATTTTTTTCTAATTATTATTTTCATATGACTGTTATTGTTAAAATACTTAATAATTAATTAACTAAAAATTTATAATTTAAAACACTTAAAAATTGTGTTTTTATATGACTGTTATTGTTAAAATACTTAATAATTAGTTAACCAAAAACTTATATTTTAAAAACACTTAAAAAATTGTAAAACAAAATTATACCGACAGCTTGTAAAATTAATAAATAAACTAGTGGGGTGGGTGGCATCGTGCCTTAAGGCAAATTGCTGGAACTTCCCGTACCGTAACAAAATGTTCGAGGAGTACTGAATGTTTTCAAATAGATTTATTATAAATATTGTAACATTGTCTATTATTTATAAGAAGTATATAAACTGAATTGCAAATTTAAAATTATTTGTTTAAGTTATATTAGAACTTTAGTCAGAATAAAAATAAAATCTTAATTATTTGCGATATACAAAAAAAACTAAAAAAAAAAAAAAAGTATAAGAAATTTTTTTTCCAAAATTTATTATTTTGTTAAGACAAGCAGAAAGTTCTTTGAATCATTTAAATCGGACGCTTAGTTCTCTCAAAAACTGCCATTTTTTACATATTTAGCTCCGTATCTTCGAAATGCCTTTACCAAAAACTAATAGACTCTTCTCCCAATCATTACTAATTGAATGTTTTTTAGATCATTCAAATCGGATACTCCGTTCTCTCAAAAAGTCGATTTCTATTTTCTGCACTCTTTGCTCCGTATCTCCAAAACGGCTGGACCTGCCTTTGCCAAAAACTAATCAGCTCTTTTCGCTATCAATAGGAATCGAATGTTTTTTGAACCATTCAAATCGGTTGATCCGTGCGCCCGAAAACGTGACTGGAAATTTGTATCCATACATACATACACACACACATCCATTTTTTCTGAGGTATGCCAAAACGTTCAGAAACCTTCAAAACGTCGAGAAATATAAAAATTTTCAATTTCCAGTTTCGGCCCATTACAATAACTTACCCTATGGGAAGTTAATAAATAAATAAATAAGTCCAATTCAATTAGTTTCCCCGACAGTAGATTTCTATTTTTAAGTTTGCTCGTCAGTAGAGTTCGTTCTAGTTTAAAACTTGCTCTAATTTTATCAAAAACAATAGGTAATTATATTATTATAACTACCACAAAACTTCACAATATCTTTCTATCCTCTTTCCATGTGAGCCAAGCTTTGTGCAAATTCATTTCGTCCGTTTGATTTATAAGTCCCGGCACATCCGACCTTATTTATTGCATCGGAATCGCGAGCCAAAAAAGACGCCCCTTATAGTCGACATAGTTAGAAACTATAGTTATAGTTATAGCATTTTCATATAGCTACAGCTACAGAGTGTCGAGATGGAGGCAAAAAAGCCGATAGATGTAACACCATGTGCTCGTTTCGAATTTAAGAGAATTCTGAGAGAGCTGGTACTGAGCCAGGGGGTGAAAAAGATACTTGAAAAGAATACAACTAGGGCTTGTCGGTTTTCAAAAACCGGTTTTTGGTCAAAATTATGAAATTCGAAAACCGGTTTTTTAGTGAAAAAAGTCGGTTTTCACTGTATAAATAAAAAATGACAAATATAGCCAAATATAAAAGATAGATGTAAGCGTTTTGATTCTTGAAATTATATCGGTTCAATAGCATTTGATATCTTATCAGTCTGCAATGGTTCCCAGAAAGGTTTTGTATATATTAATTTACATTTTTAGAGCAGTGTATATATTAATTTAAATCAGTGTGACTTCTCCTTGAAGAAATAACTTCCTCTACTCAAACTTAAAAAAAAGAGTTTTAAACCCTAGAAGCCACAAATTAGAAGACAAAACACTTAGAATTATTATATCAGGCTTTAAAAACAATTAAGCATTAATTTGGTCGCAAGTACGAGAGTATTTTCTACTTCAGAAAATTTTGTGAGTAAACAAAAGATACGTCTAAGTAGCAATTCGATAGACGTTCTCAGTTTTTGAAATCACATTTTATTAAACATAAAAACATTTAGAATGTTTAAAATTAATTAATTAAAATTTCTCGGAACAGACAATACCCGAGTTTAGCTTAATTGTTTTTAAAACTAAAATTGATATTAACAAGTATGTATCAACATGTATCAAATATTTTTTTACTTTTATTGTTTAATTTAATGAATTTTTTTATTTAAAATTGTATTATTTTCATTTGTTCTAAAACTTTCCTTTCACTATCATAAAAATATTTTCATTCTTATATGTGAAAATGATGCATGAATAACGAATAATTATTTTCAAAGTTATTTAATCGAGATAAGCTATTATTTTTTAGTTCTAGTAATTAAAATTAAAATAATTTTGTTTACTATCTTTAAAATTGAACAATAAATAAATTCAGTCACATACTGCTACAGTCTAAATTACACTAAATTTGCGGATAAATTACAGAATATTCGAGCAAAAATTTATTTTCTATATAAAATTCGAAAACTGGTTAAAACCGGTTTTTGAGTAAAATTAAAATTCGAAAACCGGTTTTCTGAAATGTCGGTTTTTGTATAAACTCTAGCTGGTACCGAGCCAGGGGGTAAAAAAGATACTTGAAAATAGTTCACTATAGTATATGGTTATTGTAGTTGCCATTGTTTTGGATTTTAGATTTGAATATAATATTAAAATTTTGCGTTATTAATATTTATTTAATTCCTGATACCTACTGAATGCTGTCTAATTTCCTGATTGCTGGTTAGTCTCATCAGTCTTTGGTATTCGTTGGTGTAATTGTCTTGTTTTGCCATCGAGGCTGCCATTTTACTAAATTTATGACCAAAACTAGTTCTAAACACTCACTTTATACACTATAGTTTCATTTTAGTACAACTTGAAACATTTATTTATTTATTTTATTTATTCATAAGCAAGCCGTAATCAATAATAATGGAAATTATTTGCACTGAGAATTTAAAAAGTTTTAGGTTATGTTAGTAAAACAACTAGAACTGAAATGACGATTGGAGATAAATTGATTTATGATTTACATTTGATTTGCTCAGATATAACAAACAAGATAGCAAAAATAATGAAAGTTACAGTATTTGTAATAATATATTTGAAAACGTTTAAAATTTCTCGAATATTCAATTACGGTACGGGAAGTTCCAGCAATTTGCCTTAAGGCACGATGCCATACACCTATATAAATTTCAATACAGTTTTATATAAACAATTTAATATAGTCCGGAACAAAATTTTTATTAATTCCAAACCTAGTTTGACTTGTCTAATATATTGTACTGTAAGATATCGAGACATTTTTATACATTTTATGAAGTATCTTAAAATTTTCTTAAGGGACACTTTTTTTGAATTAGTTTAGGAGAAACTAGATGAAATTTACTACAATTTGGTATAATTAGTTTAATACAGTCTGATATAAGATTTTTATTAATTTTAAAACTTTATTTGAACTTGCCCTTATATATTGTTCTGTAATAGGGACATATTTTTACATTTTATTAAATAACTCGAAAATTTTCATCCGGGTATTCTGTTTTATTTAGCTTAGCAGAAACTAGATAAAATTTACTATATTTTTGTATAAGTAGTTTGATATACTCCTATATAAAGTTTTTATTAATTTTGGAACCAAAATAGTTCAAATTTTAAAGATTGAACTTGTCTAATATAATGTGCTGCAAGATATTGGATCATTTTTTATATTTTATTAAATGACTTGCAAATTTTGTCCAGGTTACTCTTTTTCAGTTAGCTTAGCAGAAACTAGATAAAATTTAACAAAAATCACCATTACCTATTATACAAAATTTTTGTATAATTTGAACTCGCTCTAATGTATTTTGCAAATTTACAATATATGGATTCGGGACGCTCCTTTACATTTTGTTAAATAACTCAAAAATTTTATTCAGGGCGCTATTTTTTAGCCAGCTTAGCAGAAACTAGATGATTTTTCTTAAATTTCTCTATAAATTATTTTTTTAAATATTTTAAGTAGATCAAAATATCTCCGAAACAAATTAAGCTATTTTGATAGTCCAAAAACCATTCAATTTGTATTAAAAATATAAACTTTAATAATTAAATTCATCAAATTCATTTAAACAATTTTAAACACCAATCCTAAAATTCTATTTTCATCCTCCTTTTACGATAACTAAAATATCCTTAACAAAAATCTTCAAAATTGACTTCCTTCTAAGGATTTTCTACTAAAATTTTTAAATGCCACTGTATTTATTTATGGTTTTATAAACTTTATAATCCTTTTAAAATTTATTGTGCAATATGTGCATACATCATATAAAATAAATCCTTTTGTTACCATAAAATTATCGAGGATTATTTTGTACATATATGTAATCCTGTGAAATTGCGGTTTATATGGATAGATTTTGTGGTAAAAAGGATTTTTATTTGATAAAATGAATTTTTAAGAACTCGAAAAAATTATTAAAAAAAATCTGTATTAAATTTGTATTTTTGTGAAAAAAATGCGTTAAAATTGGATTAATGGGAATTGTAGTTATTCAAGTCCATTGTTTAATGAAATTGGGATGTTTAAGCAACTTGCCTTTAGGCAAAATGTTTACAAACACTTACTGAACAAAATTTAATTTAAACTAAAAATTTAATTTAAGTCAAACTCTTTTAAAAAATTTAAATTTGCCATGTAATTTATAAAAGCTATTCTGAACTAAAAATAATTTTCGTTCAAGTATTTTATTTTACTCTAGTAGTATTTATTTTTTTTTTTACACTTTTGCACTACTAACTGTATTTTTTTTATTCTTATAAAACTTGTACAGTTGTATTTTATTTACACAATTTTTTTATAATTTTTATTGTTAATAAAATTGTATTTATTAAATTTATTTTATTACGAAGCTTTCAGTAGTAAAACTAAACTAAAACTGATCTGTTTTTAGACGAGACAATATTGTCGTCGCCGTTATTCTATTTTCGATACTAAAAATAATACACAGCCTTATTATATATATATATATATATATATAAATATAATATATATATATATATATATATATATAAATCGATTCGTCGATAGTAAAAGTCTGCGAAACGTTTTAAACGGAATTATTACTCATATAGATATGCATTTTTTTACATTTATTTAAATGACGTGAAATTTTTGTTCTGGGTGGTCTTTGTTATTTAGTATAGTAGAAACTAGATAAAATTTACTGTAATTTTATGGAAAACAAATCTTGTATTTTCTTAAACAAGTTTTTGAAAAATTTTGTACTTTGTATTTGTATATGGTGCAAAATAATGATGTATGGTTCGGGACTTTTGTGTACATTTTATTAAATATCTCGAAAATTTTGTTTCGGGTGCTTTTTGTTGTTTAGTTTAGCAAAAACTAGATAAAATGTACTATATTTTTATATAAACACTTTAATATAGTCTTATGTGAAAATTTTGAATAAATGCAATGTAAATTCGACCTTATTATTGTTCAGTTAAGTTTTTCATTTGGGACATTTGTTTACATGTTTGTAAATAACTTAAAAAATTTGTTCCGGGCACTCATTTTTATTTAACTTTAATTTTTGAATAAATCCAATGCGAACTTGCTCTTATGAATTATCGTAAGTTTTCCATATAAGGTGTCTAGACATTGTTTTTACTTTTTTGTGAATAACTTGAAAACTTCGTCCAGGACACTCTTTTTTTGATAGCTTAGCAGAAACTAGATAAAATTTACTACGATTCTGTATAATTTGTTTTTTACACTTTCATACAAAAATAATGTGCAAATTTACAATTAATCATCAAGTCAGTATAGTTATTATAGCGAACTGCGATTTCTCAGTACTTACGCTCCGGGGAATTAAATCATATTTTAGTTATAAAAAAATGAATTTCTTTAATTTGTAATAAAAGGAAAGTCATATGTCGTTTCTAAAAATTAATTTCAAAATATTTATATTTTCATATCGGTAATAATTATCAATAATAAAAATCCACGAAACGATTTGAACATATCGATATCTTTATTATTTATTTTTATTCATCGATGAATAACTTTATTTACGATATGAATTTTGTAAAATTTTCTTAACAAAATAAATACCTTTGTTTTAAACAAATGTATATATACATAATTATATATATATATATATATATATATATATATATGTTGAATGGTAGAGTCTTGGATTTGTGTATATTTTGTAGAGTTTCGAACAAGAATCCAAAAATAATACAAAATAAAAAACAAGAAAAGTTTTTAAAAAAAAACAATTTCTTTATTTAATTATTTGTTTATTGTCAACGTTTCGGAACTAGGTACGTTCCATCTTCAGGACATCTGTCAAGAAACATGATCTTGATAAGATTTAAGCAAACAATATGTTTAAGAATAGAAAATAGATTTTTCTTAATAATAAATTAATTGTAACAAATAATAATGTACAGAAATATGATAATATGATCAAAATGAAAATGATAAAAATAAATGAGTGGATTATCAGAACAGGATATTAAAAATGATAGAAATTTTTTGAAAGTTATAGAAAAATTTTTTAAGAAAGGATTAATGATAAAATTGAATTAATTACCTGTATGTTTGAATATATTTTATTTTAAAGTTTATTTAAAAGTGCTAACGTATATTCAAACATACAGGTAATTAATTCAATTTTATCATTAATCCTTTCTTAAAAAATTTTTCCATAACTTTCAAAAAATTTCTATCATTTTTAATATCCTGTTCTGATAATCCACTCATTTATTTTTATCATTTTCATTTTGATCATATTATCATATTTCTGTACATTATTATTTGTTACAATTAATTTATTATTAAGAAAAATCTATTTTCTATTCTTAAACATATTGTTTGCTTAAATCTTATCAAGATCATGTTTCTTGACAGATGTCCTGAAGATGGAACGTACCTAGTTCCGAAACGTTGACAATAAACAAATAATTAAATAAAGAAATTGTTTTTTTTAAAAACTTTTCTTGTTTTTTATTTTGTATTATTTTTGGATTCTTGTTCGAAACTCTACAAAATATATATATGTATATATATATACATTTTTAATATCCATAAATCATAGCTCAAGTAAATATTTACTTACTTAGAATTTTCTAAAATAAATATTCTAATCAAAATATTTACAATTTGTTGCCAAAAGTTGCTTAATTCGTGCGTTTTCAATGCAATTCTATAAATAAATCACAAAGTCAGAAATTGCGTAAATTTCTGAACTATAATACTTTACTAATGTCATGTACTAAAATTAGCTCGAATTAAATTCTTACATAATGTATTAATTACTAATTTGAGTCCGAAATCAGTTACAAAATTTATATTTTTTATTTTTAAATTCATATTACTTAAAGAAATTTTGAAATTTCAAACTCTAAATTTTAATAAATTTAGACAAATAATTTAAGACAAATAATTTTAGACAAGACTTAGCTATTTTAGACAAGTGTCTTATATGTTTCGGACAAGTTTTATCTATTTTAGGTCAGTTTTATCTATTTTAGACAAATTTTATCTGTTTTGTACGAATGTTATCTATTACTATATATAGGACTAGTTTGACCTATTTTAGACAAGCTTTATTTATTTTAGACGAGCGTAATTTATTTAAGATAAACTTTTTTTTTATTTTGGACGGGTGTTTTCTATTTTGTAGAAGTTTTATCCGTTTTGGACAATTTTTTTTCTATTTTGTACAGGTTTTATCTATTGTAGATGAGTTTTTTCTATTTAGGACAAGTTTTATCTATTTTAGACAAGCTTTTTTCTATTTTAGACAATTCTTATATACTCTATACAAGTTTTCTTTCTTTTGGTCGAGTTCTATCTATTTTGGACGAGTTTTATCTATTTTAGATGAGTTTTGTCTCTTTAGAACATGTCTT